GAAGCTGTCAGCTCTTCCCTTGGCTGCAGCCTGACCCCGTGCCTAGTTGGATTGTCACCAGTGGGGGTTGGTTGGTTGTCCCTCCCATGTCTTCCGGCCTTAATGATGCTCTCGCTGTTCCGCAACACATCTGTGATTTATGTGGAAGCTTTGGGTAGGACACTGGGTCTAATCCTAGCAATTCATCTGAAATGGGTTTATCTCAATTGCAGGCTTCACAAACAGAGCTGCCCCACTTGTTCCTTGTCCTGCTCCGCCAGCACAGGGCTAGGAGCTTTGGCTACACGTGCTTCCCAGTGTGTCCTGCACGGGGTGTCTGTCATGTCCACTTACTCTGGGTGTGGAGGGCTGGACTGCCTCCTTGCAGCTGGGCTCCCAGGGTTTTGACCCATGCTAGTGCTTGGAGTGTTCATGCCTGTTGTGGTTGTGCCTCAGGTCACTGCCTAACCCTGCCTGAAGGTGTTGGGGTAGAGGGATTGGACAGTGCCTGAAAAAATGCTGTTTACTAGGACCCCATGGAAGAGCAGCACCCAGAGCATCAACAGGGTAATGCTGTTTCATATCTGTTCTCTCTGCACAGCCACAATGACTTTGTTGCTATCCTGGACCTCCCAGAAGGAGAGCACCAGTACAAATTTTTTGTGGATGGCCAGTGGGTTCATGATCCATCTGAGGTAATGCTCAAAGCTTTATCCCTGCAGATCTTGTCTTCTTCAGGGAACTAGATGGGATGTAACTGCAGCAGAGGGGGAACAGGAAGAGAGGAGAGTATCTGCCAAAACGAAAGGGACACCTCTGCCCCAAATCCCTTCAGAGACTGGTTGCTCTGGACTTAGTTATGCTGTATGGGGCAGCGTTGGGAAGGGGCAAGGAAATGCCTTTAAGTCCCACTGAGAATTGGCTACAAGGGAAGATGGGCCATGGGGTCAGCACTCACGTGCAGGTTCTCCTCCAAACTGAATGACACGGTAGCAGCATGGGAATGCATCCATCAGCATGTAGATGAAAATAGGAGGTGATGTAGGAACCTGGGAGTAAAGGGTAATCCTCCCAGGGTAAATGCAGAGATCTGCAAGCATAGAGCAGAGCTAGACACCAACCACCTGTGCTCTGAGGTAGTGCAGCAAAGACAGCTTGGGCCAGGAGGATTTAGGAAGCATTGAGTGTGCTTTGATAGGAAGTGAACATACAAAGATTCTTACCTCAGTTCTCTCCAGCCTGTGGTCACCAGCCAGATGGGGACGATTAACAACCTAATCCATGTCAAGAAGTCTGACTTCGAGGTGTTCGATGCATTGAAGGTGGATTCCCTGGAGAGCTCAGAAACCTCAGGTCGGGGTGAGTTTTGTGGCATTACAGCTTTGCATGTGCTACTTTCCACCTCCTCTGCTCTGAGACTTGTTGCTCTGGGGTGCACAGACCCCCTGAGCCGAGGTGTGGGCCTGCACTTGGGATGAGTAGTGTTTGGCAGCGTGCCCTCAGCAGCCCACATCTAAGGCCTCATCTCTCTGGAGGGACTGTGCTGGTGTAACTTGTTCTGTGCTAGCACCATCCCAGAGCAGAGCCAGCACCTGTGTGCGGTTGAGGGAACCGTTTCAGACTGCTGAACGCCGGGAACATCAGCCCCTTCTGTCTGATCAACTGTAAGTCATCTGATCCGGGGTACAAGCTAGGTGAGAGCAGGATCCAGGTTATTTTCAGCAGCTACTCTTGGTTTTCATGCCAAGGTAATTTGTACTAGTGCTAGCACATTGCAAACCTGCCACTCTGCTTGTGTTACAGCAGCAGGTTAGGTTACCACGCAGGCACCAGTGATGCTGGCATGGTGTGTAATGCTGGCAGGTAGCTCAGTGGTGTTTCGGTTCATGGTACAACACCATCTCAGACACAGCTCATCTCCAAGTCCTTTCCCAGCCTGGGTAAGGGATACTTTGCTGGAAAGAAGCCAGCAAACAACAGCAGCTCAGGGAGGTAGAGCCTTTCTGGAGGCTGGCTGTTCCAAAATGATCAGATGGAGCTGGGAGATGCAGCTAGTCCAGCTTCCAGTGACCACAAGCTCCCATCATGCCTCCCAGGTGTGGAGCTCAGTCTAGCTTTCCCATCTGCCTTTCCAGTACCCCCTTACCAGGCAGTCCTGCAGCACCCAGAGCTTGCAGGAGAGCAGCTCACTGTGCCCCTGCAGCTAAGCTCTGGGGCAAGCCAGGTGCTTCCTAAAGGGAGAGAGACCCAAGAGCTGTGTGCCAGGGTCTTGTGGTGGATACCACCAGGGTGTTTGTGTTGTGTCAGTGCATGTACCAGCTTACAGCCCTGCTTGGAAATGCCCAGGCTCACCTGGCTGCTTTTTCTGCTGTGAAAATGCTGAGCTGTTATTATAAGATAGATATCTGGCCACGGCTCATGGAAGATGCCTGAAAGACCCTGCTGGGTCTTTCACAGTTTCTTGAGAGCTGCTCTGTGCTGTCCTGTCCTGCTTTAGCCATTTCATTTCTCCTCTTTTCTCTTCTCTCTAGACTTATCAAGCTCACCACCTGGACCTTATGGCCAAGAGATGTACGTATACCGGCCCGAGGAGCGCTTCAAATCCCCACCCATCCTCCCGCCTCACCTCCTCCAGGTCATCCTGAACAAGGACACCAACATCTCGGTGTGTACCAGCATACTGCCCACACAGAGAGCCACACTGGGGTCAGAACGGGAGTCCTGTCTGCAGGGAGCCTGGTCTTCCCTTGGCTGGGGCCCGGCCCTTGGTATTTCCTAGGAAAAGCATCACTTTTCCCATTAACCACACTGATTTGGCTGTCTGCTCTGAGCTCTGTTCCTATTCAGAACAGCCAGAGACACCCACAGCTCAAACTGCCTGAGACAGCAGCTCCTGTGCTGGCTGGGGCTGGGGGATCAGGGCTCTGCTGTTCCCCTGTGACACTCCTCTTCTCCTAGTGTGACCCAGCACTGCTGCCCGAACCCAACCACGTCATGCTCAATCACCTCTACGCACTCTCCATCAAGGTAAGCACAGGTCCTGTGGGGCCACGGGGTGAGGGAGTGGGAGCTGCTGTGGCTCCCAGGGGCCTGCAGCACCTGCAGGGAGCAGAACCCAAACTGCTGGGGGGTGAAAATGGGACCAGAGGACCCACTCGAGGACACCATGGCTGTATGGTGGTGAAGTGTGGTACACGCAGGGGTGGAGATTGTGGTTTCCTTACAGTTCCCTTCAGCTGCCTCCATGCAGTGTGGTGGAGCTGAGCAGCCCCATCTTTCTGCTGTGTCCCAGACCCTTCCCTTGCTCTGCCCAGTCGTGTATTGGATGTGTCTCGCTGGCTGTGGGACTCAGCACAGCAGGGCTGGGCTGGGGCAGCAACCCAGAGCCCTCTCCCAGCTGGGGTGCCCCAGTCCCCCCCGCTGACCTGTGCCTCTCGCAGGACGGTGTGATGGTGCTCAGTGCCACACACCGCTACAAGAAGAAGTACGTCACCACGCTGCTGTACAAGCCTATCTGAGCTGGGGCCTCACCCTCCCACCACGCAGGACACGAAACGCCGCTTTGTCTACACACACTGGGCCACAGGACTGTGTGAGAACTGGCCACTGGCTCCAGCCTCAAACCCAGCAGAGACACAGGCCCCGGCAACAAGCCCAGGGCCACTGGGGCCTGTGGCACTGTCCCATCCTACTGGCGTGGTTTGATTTAGCCCTTGGTTTCCGCCCACCCCTTGGCTTCTCTGAGTCTCTGGGGCCACTTTGCTGCTCACCAGAACAGCCTTTCCTCGTGCCCAACGCAGAAAGGGCTTCACTCCATTCATCTTCTCCAGCCTGTGAGGGCCCCAAGGTGGTCCCGGCACTGCCCCCAGCCCAGGCCTACAGGAATGTGTCCGACCTGCTGGAGGTTGCTCTGCTGTCGTGGTGATGAGCCTCCAAGGCCACCTTGATTGCTAGGGGCTCTGGAACACTCCAGCCTGCCACCTGCCCCCTGTCCTGCAGCCCTGGCTGTGGGGCTGCCCCCCAGCTTTGAGGAAGGCTCTTGGCTCTGGAGCCCCAGCCCTCTGCCAGGTTCAGCATAGAGCCAGCAGGATGGAAGGTACAACTGGACACAGCCACGCTTACCTACTGCTGGGACAGCACCATCAAGGACTGAACACCCTGTCCCTAACATCGAGTGCTTCTGTGGGACATTGTCACAGCCAGAGGGGCACCCGCACACGCCCATGCTGGAGGGGCCTGGGGAGAGTGGAGCTGGGCAGGCACTCCAGGACCCCAGCTGCACCACCTGCTGCTGCAGCAGTGCCATGGGACAGAGGGTTCTCTATTTATTACAGTATTTATTGTTCTCAGTGCTGCTGGCCTGGTGTTGAAGGGAGACTCTGGAACAGCGAGAGGAGGAAAGGGAGTGCCCAGTGGGGCACAAAGCCACCTGCCCTGGGGTCAGCCAGTGCCTGTGGCACCTTGTGCTGCAAGTAGTTTAGGGAGGGGGAACGTGGCTGCAGAAATGTGCATGCCAGAAACACCACAACCCAAAGGAAACCTTTATTGGGGACTCTTCAGCCACTGAACAGAATATGGCATTTCTTACATCTTCCTCCCACGCTAGGGCCCCAGGGAGCCCCGAACGCAGTTGCAATACCTCTGTCTATATACATATACATATATCCACAAGCAGGGATGGATACACAGCAGGATTACAAAAGGGACCAGGTCCCAGGGCAAGGGGTGCTTAGTGTGGAGGGCTGTGACACCCCCACTCAGCACCAAGGGTGGAAGGGAGGGAGCGCTGAAGCATGGGGCAGGCAAAGCCCAAGCCAACAGCTGCTGCTGCATTGCCAAGCAAAGGCTGGTGGAGGGCATGCGACCACCACAGCAGCCCAAACCCACTAACTGTATAGCACTGGACACTCCTGCCCTCGGAGTAGCAGGGACAGGGTCTGCTCCAGCCCTGTGGCATGGCATGGCTTGGCAGCCAGCAGGCTGTTCTGCACCAGGCCATCACTCCCTGCCCTGCCCGGGGCTCATGCGACAGGCAGGGCCTGCTGGGCCTTCACCTGGCAAAAGAGCACATGTGGCAATAAGGAGGAGCACTGCTGTGCCCTGGGGACATGGACACACAGGCTGGGGATAGCCAAAGAAAATGTGTCCCTGTGTCCCACATCCAGCTGGCCCTCAGCACCATCTCCCCCACCAGCCACCATGCAGTATCTGTCATCTGTGCCCATCTCCAGGGCATAAGGGCTCACCAGGGCAGGGACACCCACCCCATCCCACACTGACTGCCAGGGCAAACTCACCTCCAGGTTCGTCCTGGCCTTGCGCAGCACGTTGTGGGTCCTGGTCACTGCAGGGGAGAGAGAGAGGAGCTCAGTGAGGTCCTGGGCTGTGGAACCACATCAGACACATGGGGACCAAGTCAGTTTGGCCGTGCCACCCTGCAGCAGGGTGGCACCCAGGCCACATACACTGGCTGACGATGAACTGCTCCATGCTGTCCTTGAGCTGGGCTGTGCTGCGCAGCCGCTTGGCCGTGCTCTGCAGAGCATCCTCCCTCTCGGAGAGCCGAGCCTTCAGCACTGCAATCTCACCCTGCAGCACCTGCTCCTGGGAGCGTGGAGAGGAGAGGAGTGTGATGAGCAGTGAGCACCTGCCCCCACTGCCCTGCCAGCCCCCAGCCTCTGCTTACCTTGCCCTGGTGCTGGGCAGGGCTGACAGGTAGCACGGTGCTCCAGAAGGCAGTGAGGAGCGATGCACACTCCTCCAGGATGCCGTGCAGGGTGCTGGCACTGCCCCACAGGTGCCCTTGGCCTGTGCCTGCCCATCCCAAGGCCTGTGGGAGAAGGGTGCGGGAGCAGGTGCTGCTGGGGCACCCACGTCCCACTGCACCCAGGGACATCTCGTGCCCAGCCCAATGTGGCGGGGGGAAACCCCTGGGCGGGAGGCCCCCTGCCTCCTGCCAGCCCTGCAGGCCTTGGAGCTGATTCTGGGCTCGGGAGCCACACTGCACATCGTCCACAGAGGGTCTGACCCCCGGCTGCTGCCAGCCCCATCCTGCCCACACTTTACCTCCTTTCCCGGGAGCAGGCAGTTGGGCAGCCCGAGTGCTGGGCGTGTGAGACACATCAGCTCACGGGCCAGTGCCTTCCCCTCCATGATGTGCTGCTCCAGGACCCGGTACGTGTCCAGACGGCCAACAACATGAGCCCCTGTCCGTTCCTCACTCTTCCTCACCAACCGGTTCCCCCCACGTGGCTCTGTGGAACAAGCAGAGCTAGGTGAGGTCCACTGCCTGCTCTCCTCCTGGCCCTCCCCGTCCCATCCTGGGGGCTTGGCTTGGCCCGCTTTGCTCAGCAAGGGCGCTGCCATGAGTTTCTGAGGTCTTAGCAGCCCCCGCTGCCGAGGCCTGCGTGTGGGCAGGCTCTGGTACCCACCATCCATCCGTTGGACCACCGACGTGTTAGAGGGCAGTGGGGAGAAGAGGGGAGCTGCTGAGTTTGTGCCAACATCCCGCACTGGAGGAGATGGGAAGCAGCCTGGAACAAGAAGCATCAGCCCCTGTGGACAGCTGTGGCTCTGTGCCTGGGGCTGCTGCGGCCCTGCCCTCCCTCTCTGCCTGCCAGCTGGGCCACCGTGTCCCACCTGCTGCCGTGACCAGAGAGGTGTTTGTTTGGGACCACGCGAGGGTTGCAGAGGGCCCGGGCACCCCAAGACCAGGAGCTGGGCAGGGAGGCTGGGCGTGGGTCCCATACCTGCACGTGTCTCAGGAGAGGGGCCAGGGAGGCTCTCGTAGATGTGCAGCTCTGCGCGCAGGGTTTGCAGGAGC